CAGAGGAGGCGGGCCGGGAGACCGCTGGCAAAATATCAAGAGCCACGACCGGATGTGGCGCAGATGGGCAAGGCCCAATCCAACTTACGTTACCCAACACTTACGTTATGAGATGCCAAGCGGCTACCAACACCGTGAAGCTCATGGGGGCAATACTCAAAGAGGACATCGCTCCCTTTCAGCCTACCAGAGACGCCTAATAGCTTGGAAAGAGTCAAAGTCTCAGAACCGCCGCGTTTTTCGACAGTGGAAATCCTCAGTTAAGGATGCCGCCCTGAGGGTGCATGGTGGTCCAAATCCTAAGCCCCTGATCCACCCAAGACCGACCTATGAGGAGAGATTCATTAAATCGGCTAAGTCCCAACCTCATAATAGTTATTCCACCCAAGTACACAACATGCGTTCTGCAAATGATAGGTGTACTGTTCCCATCCCTACTAATACCGACCTCTGTCTTTGGACATGGAATGTTGAAGGTCTCCGTGAGACAGCAAAGTATGATTCAATTATATCATATTGTAGATCACAAAATGTTTCTCTCTTGTGTGCGCAAGAAACTAAAGCAGAATCCTGTCACTATTTCAATAAAAATGGATGGCAAATCCTTATGTCAGGACTTCCTTCTGAGAAACATCATGGAGTAGGCTTTTTTGTTTCTCCATGGCTTAGGTCCCATGTCAGTGATTTTATCCCACATTCACCCAGGATTGCTGAAGTCACAGTAAATACCGTGCCCCGCAAAATTACCATCTTGAATGTGTATGCTCCTAGTTGGGTTGAGGACCCTGATAATGACAGAGATAGGAAGCAAAAATTTTGGTCCCAACTTGGAGACATAGCCCTCTTTCATTCTGATCAGTCTCATCTCCTTATATTAGGAGACTTAACTCTAGACTGGATCCCCAAATTGACCCACTTTGCAACCATATTGGTCCTAATGTTGTGGGAGCACGTGCCTCAATCACTGATGACGACAGGGGCAATGCCACTATGCTCTTTGAGTTCCTGCAGTCCCATAATATGACCCTCCCCCAAACTCACTCCAAGCTCCCGTTCAGGAAGAAAGTCTCCTATAAGGAGACCACGTGCGAGGACCATCTCCTTACTGGAGAAGACGTTAAAGATTGGACTACTCTAGATTATCTTCTTTGCCCACAGTCACAAAAAGATACTCTCTCATTTACTGGCTCAATTTTTCAGCAGGCTATTAATTCGCGGCATCTACCCTTATCCTTTCATATCAGGACCCGATATCTTCCAATAGCTAAACAATCTCAACCTCCCAAAAAAGATTACCGATCTATGGCTTCCTTCTTCAATTCAGTCGAAAAATCCCTGTTGAGTTCAACGGAAAACTCCTTTTCACCGTCTAGCTCTTCTTCGCACAATATTATTGCGTACACAGATGGCTCCTGTCCTAACAATCATGCGGTCAGTTACGACAATCCAGCAGGATGGGGCTTTGCCCTGGTGTATGACCATCCCATCAACTCCCGCCCGCCTGCTTCGGCCCCTTGGCAATGCTCATTCGGGCCCCTCCGATCCAATCCTCAGTCAGTAGAAGGTCTTTCAGTAGGATCCACTAATACAGGAGAGCTCCGTGCAATCATTGAATTATTTGATTTCCTCCTGTGTTACTCGACTCTTTCTCATGGTGATAATATTATGGTTTATACTGATTCACAGTATGTATTGGACCTTCTTCACGGGTCCTCAATCCCCTCTACGCATCCTCAGCTAGTCAATTTGGCACAGCAATACTATACTGCTCTAAGCGTTCAGTACACTCTCACTATTGCCAAAGTTCCCGGTCATAAAGGATTCCCTGGTAATGAAATGGCCGACCTCCTGGCTAAACGTGGAGTTACCCGATTTGGTACTTTAGGACGCTTTTCTGCTACGCCTTCTCAACCACTCCGCCCCCCTGACATCGGACACAATCAACATCTCTGGTTATCTCAAACAGTTCAACAACAATCTGATTTTATCAACACACAGTTTCAGCAACACTCCCGCCTCATCCCGGAACTACCCCTCTCAGCCAAAAAACCGTGGATCTCTCCAGATACGTTAGCTTTAATCTCCGACTTTCAATCCGAAACGTTCAATGACCTGGCGCAGCTAAAGGCCGCTAGAAAGGCTATTAAGAAGGCTGCTCGAAAAGATAAAAAAACTCTGTGTTTCTAGTCACCTTGAAGCGGATTTTCATGGTAGTAACATCCATCAATGGGACCAGATCCGCTCCGTCAGGTCAAACTTTAGACCAAAGGCCGCTTCACTCTATAACCTTAGTGATAAGTTGGTCTCCACCTCAGCTAGAGCCGATACCTTTGCTGACTATTTAGCTAAGAAAGTCTGGATCTCAGAAAATGATATGCAGATTCCAGTCTCTAATCCTCACCCTCCCGTCTCCATGGATGCTCCTTTTACTATGCATGAATTGATTCTCGCGCTTCGTAAATTAAAAGCTTCTAGAGCCCCTGGCCCTAACGGGCAGGTAGGAGAACTTTATAAGCATGCGCCTTACATCTTACGTATGTATCTCTTGGATCATTACAATCAATGTCTTACCTCTGCCACCGTCCCTTCCGATTGGCTTTTCTCCGAAGTTATTATGGTTGTGAAAAATTATTCTAAGGATACTCGGCTCCTTTCTAATTATCGCCCAATCTCTCTTACTAATATTTCTTATAAAATATTCGCGTCAATGTTACAGTCTAGATTATCACACCTTCTTGATGACAGAATCCGCCCCACACAGTTTGGCTTCCGTAAGAATAGATCTACGACTCAACCCGTTCATATTCTTCGTAGGCTTCTGGAGATTCATGAAAGACAGCCCTCCCCTTTCCATGCCCTCATTCTAGACTGGTCTAAGGCCTTTGACTCCGTTACTTTTACAGCAATTCGATCGGCAATGGAATTTATGGGTGTTTCTCCGCACGTTATATCGGTTATTATGGAGCTCTATAACCGCCGCTCCTTCAGAGTTCGCGACTCCAGTAACACCTCGCCCGTCAAGATACAAACCAAGGGACTACGTCAAGGATGCCCCCTCTCCCCTTACCTCTTTAGTATGGTACTCACTCACCTTTTCCATGATGTAGAAATTCAATACGAACAACAATATGGTCTCCTTTCAGGTGTGATCCACACTCCCTCCCCCCTTTGGGATTTAGAGTATGCCGACGACACAGTACTACTGTCTCACTCGGGAGAGCAATTAACCCGGATCCTCCATTTAATACAGTTTCAAGGTTCCATTAGAGGTCTACATTTAAACGAAGAAAAGTGCCAACACTTACGCCTGAATTCGGACCAAAGAGTTTATTACGCGCCATCCACTCTTGTTCAGAACTGCCATTGCTCAATGTGTTTAGGCAATTTCCGAATGGGAGACCAGGTTCCGTTATCTCAGGAAATCAAGTACTTAGGAATTTTCCTAGATGCTTCGGGCTCTGCCCGCAAAAATGTGTCCTTCAGAATTACTCAAGCTATTCACTCTTCTAAGTTACTCAAACCTCTTTTGGCGCATAGCCCCCTCCCTCCCTCATGGAAACTTACGGTATATAGGTCAATTGTTCTTTCCATACTTATGTATGCTATGGACAGTGCGTTCCTCTCCCTTTCCCAGCTTACTAGACTCAACTTAGTCCACTTTAAATCACTTCGAATCCTCGTATCACCATAGAGTCCTTAACCCCTCTGATACGGATTGCTCTAATGAATATCTGGCAGGACTTGCCTTTTCTTCCCGTAGAATTATCTCCCCCTCCCAAATTTATTCCCATGACCGACTTCGCCTATTAAGGCATTTGCTTAGGCATACGGACTCCCTTGAATATAGTGCGGCATTCATGCCCTCGGGCGCGTTTCGTTTTATTCAAGGCCCGAATAGGGTTGGAAGACCCAGACGCCACTGGACAGAATCCTGTATGACTGAGGCTTCAAACCGTATAGACTTTTTATCCTCAGACTCCGCTCCTTATCATGCAGACATCCATAATGATTACTTTCGTATCCCAAACTCACAGGAAGTCCTCTCTGTGCATGCCACTCAGAGTGTTGTTTGGATGGAAAATACTCTCCTTTACCGCACAGTAAAGGCGAATGCCCAGCAACGTCCATTTTGGACTAAAGTTCTCCATAAGCCGTCAAAGAACAAATAATTCCACATAAGGGAAATCCTAGTTTGAAATTTTGGTCGGTGCTGACGGGCTGACGCGAACAGCCTTGCGCAGAGGAAAAAGTATGAATAGTCATTGCCATTGCTATCAGTAATTATGATTAGCAAGTAATGGTATTTGTTGTTATTGAAAAGTGTTCTTATCACTACCCAAAATTCATGATAATTAATACTATTAGTAGTAATACCTATTCATAATTACAAATTATCATGAGTAGGTATTCTTATTATTATCACAGAGTCTTAGGAATTAAGTGTGATTTGCTAAAAGTGTTAGCACTTCAGTATGTTTTACTATGAATATTAATTATCACTATTGCTTCTTACTTGCAATTATTGATAGGCATCACTATTTCTAAGAAGTATTCTTATTATTAAACATTGCGAAGAATAGTAGAATTAGAAACATTTATGAACTATCAAAGTCAAATGTTATCATTCATGAATACCAATTATTATCTTGAAGTGTTATGAGCAGTCATGATATGCAGCCCACGGAATTTTGACACAAAGCAACGCTCGTGTCAGCATGTTTCAGCTTTGCAGCTTCTCAGTAAGCATGCAGAAAGCTCCAAGCCAGTTGATGATGCCTTGAGCGCACAACTGTTTTCCTTGCTGGCAGGACATGTTCCAGAAGCTTCATGGACCACAGCTCGGAGTGCTGTCGCTCATCATAAAGGCTGGCAGCACATGACAGCTGCCAGTTGTGTGCGTCTGCCCCAAAGCGACGCTTGGAGGCCAGTTGTTTGACGATGGCCGAGGCCGCAACCCATTCTGGTCTCTAGCCCGTTTCCGAGCCCTCAGCAGCGTCTAGGTACCGGGTGTCAACGCGATCATCGACGACGGGACCGCTTTCCGACCATGGTTGGTAGGTTTAATGCGGTGGTTTACCTGGTTTTAACCTGGTTTTAGCCTGGAGAAGGCCAGTAAGGGGAGTTTTCTGTTTCGAACCGGCTGCTGGCTCAAAAAAAGCAACAGCTTGCCAGCCACTCTTACCTCTCTTCCACTCTGTGGACCTGTAGCGGCCAGAGTGTCGACCAGTGCTGTGCGATGCCAGGACCAAGGAGACAGTTTGGCGAGACTACGCCTGCATCCCGGCACAGCCGTGCATTGGCTGGCTGCAGAGTCTGAAAGTGTCCCTGACGCTTCCTGAGGTGGACATCAGCATCCCGATTCCCAGTCCACGCGGAATTATTGCCTGTACTTTGAAAGACGCCCAGTCCATGTCGATCCGGGACATGGAGCACGAGCTTGCAGGGTGCGGGAGATGCA